CCCTACAACTGCACTCCCGGTTGGCCGCCTTGACAATGGATGCACGGAACATGGCCCATGGCCCAAGGTCCAACTCCAGAGTGGTAGAAAGTCCAACCCCTTTTTGTTTATTTGCAGATGATGTGGTCCTTTTAGCTTCATGCGACTGTGATCTCCAGCTTTCAGTGGAGTAGTTTGGAATCAGAATTAGCTCCTCTAAATCCTAGACCATGATCTTGAGTTGGAAAAGGGTAAAATACCTTCTCCGGGTCAGGGACGAAGTCCTGCCTCAAGCGGAAGAGTTTAAGTATCTCTGGGTGTTCTTGTTCATGAATGATGGAAAGATGGAGCAGGAGATTGCTAAACGGATTGGTGCTGCATCTACAGTGATGTAGGCATTGTACTGGTCTGTCATAGTGAAGGGAGAATCTTCTTCCAGCTCTTGAAGAGTTCAGATGCTTTTTTTCCTCCTCCCCTCCCTATCTTATCCTAAGGCTCTTTGTCTGTCTTTGGGTGTACGGTGCTTCTACATCTTTTTCTGGAAACTGGAAATTATCAAAATGGACCTGGTTAGTTGGTCTCTCAACGCCATTGACAAAATTTTTTCAGTGATGAGAATGGGAGAAGGGGCTCCCGGTTGCCCCTCTGGGACAGAGCCAGCTGGGCATATCATGGATTCCTGGGAACAGTGGAACCTGATCTGCCTCTCTCAACTGTCTGTAGAGGATTTTGAAGACGTCTGGATATTCGTGGTGTTGGTGTCAGGTTTCGTGCTGTTTGGCCTGAGTGGTTACCTGGTTTACCGGAAAATTAATGAGCTGTCGAGGAATATTGGCTCAATTCTGGAGCTCAGGGATGGATTACACCGCGCTGTGAATGCACAAACTCATGTAATTGTCGAGATGAGTCGTCAGTTTGGAACTTTGGCTGTGATTCAGACTCTGGCACAGAAGGTTGATGCCATCAAGGATAGGGGTGACGGATCAGGACGGATTGGGATAGATTAATCTACGCCATTTTTGGATCTAGAGGGGTTGGAGATCAACAGAACTTTAAGACAGAGTGGAAATTATCTCTGTCTGGCCCCAAAACAAGTTCTTAACTGAATCTGGTGCCCTTGAGCCTGTGAGGCTGAAGAGAGTATTCCCCCTCAGAAGAAATGTGGAATGCTGCCGTCGCCCTGGTAACTCTGTCTCCCTATCCAAGCCTGGGCGGGACTGCGACCGGTGAAGGCCACTGAATCGTTTCCAGGAGTCACTGTGCTCTCTAACCAAACTACCCCCTTCCCCTGTCCAAACGGAGGTGATGAGTACTGCTTATCGTGGCTGCATGCACTGATGTTTGGAGAGTCCCCAACCCTACCTCCCCACCTAGTGGACACTTATGTTGTGTGATGTCTGAAGTCTGTTGCATTTCTGTCTGAGGTGTTTTTTGCATAGCAAAGCTGCCCTCCCTTTGGAGGGTAACTCTGAAGTGCATTTTTTCCCCCTCCACCTGAACCAATCCTCATATAACCCTCTTATCTCTATTAGGGTAGCACGACTCGGGTTGCGAATGACCACAGTCACCAATTCTTTTAATGTGTCTATGCCTATGTATGTATGTCTGATCTCAGAATTGTGTGTACTGAAACTCTAATTTCCCTCTGGGATTAATAAAGTATTTTGAATTTGAATTGAATTTGAAGAGAGAGCTGAGCCAGAAGGCGAGGTTCTCAATGTACTGGTCAATCTACATTTCAACTCTCATCTATGGTCACAATCTTTGGGTAGTGACAGAAAGAACTAGTGTCTGGCTCTCCCTTAGAGATATAGGGTGAGAAGCTCAGTCATCAGGTAGGGGCTTGGACTACTGATCCTCCAAATCAAGAGGAGCCACTTGAGGTGGCTCAGGTATCTGGTTAGGATGCCTCCCTGGTGAGGCTTTTCAGGCAAATCCAATTGACAGAAGACCCAAAGGAAGACCCAGGACATGACGGAGGGACTATGTTTCTCGTCTGGCTTGGGAACACCATAGGGTTTTCTCTGAGGGGCTGGCCTAAGTGACTGGGGAGAGAGAAGGCTGGGCCTCTCTGTTTAGGCCCTTGCGAACTGAGCCCAGATAAGTGGAAGACAATGGATGGATGGATAAATGAGAAATAGAATATTAGTTTACAATATAGTCAGTTTAGCTTTAGAAGTTTATGAATCACATTTCATGGTCCTGAAATCGTTGACTGTTTATGTAATGGACGAGCACGCTGCACTGTCACCCGTAGGTGTCTGAAGAGCTGAAGTGAAGTCCAGTGATTAGGTCCCATCACTCTCGGAAAATAAAAAAAATGGAATTGAGAGCTGGGCTGTGAGGGTGAGGGCAGATGATTGACGCCCAACAAGGGCAGATGATTGACGCCCAACAACGTCCGAGCCGATGTAGCTACGAGCTAACTGAGCAAACCAAAGCTGATGGAGGTTGGCGGTTTGGAAAACCACGGTTGAGTGACTCTGCAATGCCTACTAGGCTGTGATGCTTTTAATGTGAG